ATTCCTCAGCCAGCTTTGCTGGCTGAGGAATTCTGGGAGTTGAAGTCCACAAGTCTTAAAGTTGCCAAGGTTGGACACCCCTGATTTAAGAATTTACTAACTTATCATTGGCAAGTGTTTCACAGCTGTGGCAAGAACTATCGTAAAATGGGGCAAAACTCAAATGTCTCACTTAACAACAAGTTTTGGGTGCAGTTGTCGTAAGGCAAGGACTATCTGTACTTATCATCCTGCAGAGATGCAATTCAGCTGTCAGAATGAAACAAGCAAACCAATTGTCGGAAGAATAATATCCTTGCTGGGTGGTGTAATCTTTCCAGGTGCCCTGTGGTGAGATGGATAATCCTGTCATTTCCTGAGGGCCATGTCTTAATCCCATCACCCTGGAGCTGCTCATTGTCCCTAAAAAACATGTTTCTCCTTTTCTTCATCAAGGGAAATATAATATTCTGCATTTTTGATATTTCCTAGAATATTTCAATTCTTCTAGGAGAGGGGTGGGTGCTAACTTTCTACAGGTAGACAGGACCACATCATGGCTTGGAGCTCCAAAGTGAAAAGGACGATCACATGCTTCAAGATGAAGGAAAAGAAGGAAGGGGTGAGATGCTGAGTGTGTCTGGGTTTTATACCCTCTGTTGGGATTTTGAATTTGAGCTTGTATTCTGATTGGTGGTCAGACTCCCATGGGGCTATGCAGGGGCAACTCTGTAGAGTCCCAGGCTTGGTTGAGCCTTGTTGGGTGATGATGTAATGGAAGGGCTTTGGGCAACTCCTATTATAGCTCTACCTGGAGATCTTTGTTATGTAAAATAGGCTGGCCTAGCCCATTAGCAAAGGGGTGTGTGTGTTTGAGTTTCTGCTTCTGAGTTTCTACCCTTTTTAGGGGAAATATTCTGCCTTTTTAATATTTCCTAGGATATTTCATTTTTCTAGGACTCGGGTAGGTGCTAACTTCCTACACTATGAATTGTGATTAGTAATCCTGGCTCTTGAATTTATCCCTTTGCTCTAAGAAGGCACTGTTTCTCAAAACTTAGCAACTTCAAGACTGAAATCCCCAGAATTCCCCAGCCTGCATCTAGTGGTCCTGATGACCGAAATAACCTGAGCCTTGCATTGG